CAAATTCATGCTAGAGCCTGAAGCTCCACAAAGTCAAGGTCTGGACGTTCCTCTGGAGGATCAGAAGTACTCGAGCAGCAAGACTATGCAACCTCCTGACATTCTTGATACAGTGGTTTCAGCTTACGGTCTAGTGCAAACCATACTCGAGAGTGTAACTTCATCAGCAGGCAGTCTTGAGGAGGCTGTTTCGCTAGTCGGGCCTTTTGTCCAAACTATGGAGGAGGTTGCTACCGAAATCGTTCTGAAATACGCTGAACAGAACAACCAGCAGACCGATATAGTGGCTTCCATCGAATCAGACCAACTCCACGAGTACCTCATATCCAAGGCAACTTGCCAGGCACTTTCTACCGATTCCATAGAGCAAGCCGCTGCTTCCTTTGATGGTGATCTTCCAGACGTGCCAGAGCGCTACATGCTGGCAGCTGACGCAATCGATACAATCTTAGATCGCCACGACGTTCACCTGAATCCTCAGGCTATAGATGCGGAAACATACTGGCAGGCTTTGACCAAAATGAACGTTTACTTCAAGAAGGCACAGGAGCTTCTAAGCGCCAGAAATCAGGAGATCAAAACCAAGAATCTCACAAACACAGAACTCGGTTTGGGAGCCCTCATTGCCCAGATTTGCAAAGTCTACATTGCCAGGTCCGACATCGACTTGCAGCGGAGCCAGCTCGACCTCGAAGTTGCACAGAAAAGCTCAAGTGTTCTTTTGAACAATGCAAAGGCATTTTTGAAGAGCTCCATGAATATGAGTAAGTCTTCCGGAGGACTTCGAGAGAAAGCCGTTGAAAAAGCACAAAGAGACCGCAGACGATATGAAGCAGTCTCCAGACTTTGCGTTCTTGAAGGGAAGCTCGACACCGATGAACTCAACAGAATTATGGGCGAGGGCATGTGGGAGGAGGATCTCGCCACCTACAAAGAGTTCTGGTACTTCCAGAAGTTCTTCCAATAATCTATTACCTATAAACCGAAGCAAGCACTATAACGGTGCTCCCGTGAAATTGCTTGAGAAACATTCATTAGCATAATCGTCAGGGTGGTTTGTGGATGGGGTCATGTCATGAACAGCCGGGCTGGTCAAGTATTTGAAGTCGATCAGATGTGATCGCAGATTTTGCACGATAACACTGAGGATATTGAACTTCAAGGCATGAAGCACGTAAGTGACGAACCTCATGCTTGAGCCGTAAATTTCCTCGTGTTGACTGAACTAGTACAAAAGTTGAGATGGATCTTGAAGGCTAGAACTACTTTTAGCGAGTGACGCTGGTGCAGTCCCTGCGCACGTTGTGACACCCGTTACCCCAGATAAGCTTTTAGCACGTGGGATTCATGACCATTGAAGGAGGTGACAATTTGGAAAAAATTAGCTTTCAACGTTACTATTGTTGTTTTGTTCCTGCTGATGGAACCCTTCCTTTGACAGCTTGTGCGGCTGATTACAATTGCTCATACTATACATGATGCGCATAGAAGCGGCTGCAAAATGAACCGATCGAAACCTTCATCCCTACACTGAATCAAATAACTATCTAACACGATTAAATCATACACCTGGCTAGAAACTCTAGCACTCTATTTACAGATCTATTTCAAAAGCTTGTCAAAAGCGGGGATCAAGGACTGGGCCAAGGCGAAGGAGAAGACCAACTTAGGACCGGTGGTCAACAACTTGGGGGTCAAACCCTTGAAGAAAGCAGTGATACCCTCGTTCTTGGCCATGTTCTTCAAAATCTTGAAACCGCTCTCGGGGTTCTCGAAGTTTCTGTTCTGGATTCTGGTCTTGATGACGTCCAATGGAGCGGACACAATCAACGAGGCAGAAGCACCGAAAATAGATGTGACAAAGTTCTGGCTCCAGGTGGCAGAGGAGTAGTCCTTCAAGCCGAAGATGTACTCCTTGGCAAAAGAGTTACCACCGAACAAAGCGAAGGAACCTGGAGCGTTTCTGGCAGCAGTCCAGCCCCAGCCTCTGTACAAGCCGAAACCTTCGTCGGAGATAATCTTGAGGAAACCTCTGCCCTTGAAGGACTCTGGGTTTGTTTGTCTCTTGATCTTCAAAACATCCAATGGCAACAACACAACCTCACCGATACCAATCAAGGAACCAGCAGTGGCAGACAACAAAGCCTTACCGGTCTTAGGACCAAACAAGGAGTCGTATGAGTCTCTGAAGTTCTTGGTCAAGAACTCGTTGGCAAAAGGCTGGCCACCGTACTTGTACACTCTTTGCATGATCTTGTAAACAGCAGCGTAACCCAAACCAGGGAACAATGTGAAGAGTCTGGAGCCAAGAGCCTTGGAAGCGTGCTCCCTGAAAATGACGGAGTTCAATTGAGATGCAGAAGTGATCTTGGTCTGGTTGGACATAAGTCTCTTGGAAATGGTGTCCACAGGGTGGAAAACACCAATTTCACAGATACCGGCGGTGGCCGAACCAAGCACTCTGGCCAATCCGCTTTGCTTCTTGTCGGTTGTTGGGGGTGGGGACATTCGATGTGTGGATCTAGTTGAGGAAGAAGTTGATAAAAGCTCGAAAATTTTTTCCCACACCGCGGGTAGGGGGAGCGTTACCGTAATAGGAAGGACTTATTGGGCCACCAGGGGTGCTACTAATGAAGGAGCCCGATTTATTTTCTGGAAAAAGGGGAGTCTATTGTGTATAGGTGTCAGGATAACGGAAAGTTGCTGATTCCGCTCGGAGGAGAAGGGCTTTGTCCGTCTCAGGGATCTTCATATGACTTTCGCAACCATGAACAAAATGGGAAGTGGATCTTGGATCTGGGGTGGAGGGATGTATGATGAATGGCTTTAGCCGATTGCTTATTCAGCGAGATACTCGATACGATCTTGATTTGTCCTCTTTCAGGAGAGTTAGTCGATCTTGCATGGTATGCTTGGTACTCCATCCAATGAGTAGCTAGACATTGTTACATTTATTCTGGCCATATTTCTTCTTTCTTTTATCAATTCAATACAATTCATTTTCAAGGCATAACGCCGATGAAGACTGTTTGTATTGTTTAATTAATCCTCGATAAGTACCATGATTCGTTGAGTATGGTAGTAAGTGCACCCGAATTGCCACCACTTCACCACCACATTCACAAACCCAACGGAACAACAAAAGTCCTAAATCCAGACATCCCTTCTTTTTCTAACTTCAATTAATAGAACTATTCTTTTTCTCCTACATCAACAAAAACCACTTGGCCCACCTACTACTCAACCGCTCCTGCACTTTCTCACATATCATCAACACCTACTCTTCATGCTGTGGGATCCTGCCATCGTGGAGGACTACGAGGCGTCCATCAAGGAACTCACATTCAATTCTCGTCCAATCATAGAAACGCTAACGACGATTGCCCAGGAAAATACCGATGCCGCCGAAGGAATACTCAATGTCATCACCGCCAGAATCTACAAATGCATCCCAGAACAGAAGCTCTTTGCCATGTACCTACTCGATCTGATTTGCAAAATTGTCGGTCAGCCGTATAATCTTATTGTCGGCCCAGAAATTTTCAAATTGTTCTCCCATGTATATGTCTTGGTGAGCGATCACACGAGAGGTAAGTTGGTGAAAATGTATGAGTTATGGAAAGTGACGCGGACGAAAAACGCCGGTGGGCCTCTTTTCCCTCCTGAGGAGCTCGAGAAAATCGGAAACTTCCTACAGCAGGCTGGCTACCGCAAGCCAGAAGTGCCTGCCGTTTCAGCTACAGATCTTATAGCAGATATCGATATGCTATTGCCAATCATGAAAAACAAGCTCGTCAACAACCCAAGAGATACATCGCTCAACGACAGGGCCAACGCTTTGCTGGAGCTCAAAATCTTGCTTCAGAGCCAGGCGCTCAAACCAAACGATTTGCTAGGAATACAGGAAAAACTATCGTCCATGAAGCAAGCCGAGGTCTACACCGCCAGTAGCACGCCAAAAATACCTGATACACCGGCTGTGCCCACGAAAGTACCTGGTCCCTTTGTGCCAGAAACTGGAATGCCAGGTAAAGCCGAGGCTCTCTTTGCTGACCTCCTAGCTTCAGGGTTGGTGAAGATGGAACAATCGTTGAAAGCGGGCTCCAAGCCAGTATACGAGCTTGTGATGCCAAAAGAGAAATACGAACCATCCAGTGCCAGTGATGGTATGTCGACATCTGCACTTGAGCAGCTTCTTATGGACGCCAATAACCCAGGTAGGTCAGTCTATGAACAGGCTCAGTTCAAAGAGCTTCTCAAAATCTCCAAAAAGCTACAAAAAACAGAGTCTTTTGGTCAGTCATTGCAGAACTTTGTGAACCACAACAAGCTCGATATGTCCACCATACAACTTCTTTATGACGCCAAAGCGCTGAAATGTGCACAGTGTGGTAAGCGTTTCACAGATGATGAAGTTGGAAACAAGAGAAAACGCATACATTTGGACTGGCATTTCCGTATAAACAAGAAGCTGGCTAACTACAAGACCAACATTCAATCGAGAAACTGGTACCTTGATGACTTTGAATGGGTCAAATTCAAAGATGACGAGCTTCTTGAATTTGGCGACGCTGGAGAAAACAAGGAGGCCGCCAAGAAGCCCGAACAGAAGGAGGAAGAGAGGGTATATGTCGTTATTCCTTCGAACGAAAACATCACCAACAACATTTGCACAATCTGCCGAGAACAGATCAAGCCAACTTACGATGAGGGCCTTGGTGAGTGGATCTGGGACGGCTGTGTCTACGCTGCAGGCGGAAAGGCAAGCAAGAAGATTGTCCATGCCAGTTGTTGGCAGGAGACTGCAAAAAAGAGAAGCAGTAACGGCACAGACGACAGAAAGATCAAGCGTGAAAAGACGTAGTGAGGTGAAGGGGCTTTTTATCGACTTCAACTCTACAAAGGCCACCCGGCCAGTAATTCAAAATCTCTGCATGGTACTTTTTTGTATAAAAATACACACCAAGGTCTATTCACAGAAGCTATGCTGTATGCTGAACCTATTTCTGGCCCAAGCACTTCAAGATGTCACCCCACACGTTGGTAGGCTTCTGGGAAGCGTCAATGCCGCTCCAGATACCGGTCTTCTTGTAGTACTCGACAATTGGCTCGGTCTGCTTGTGGTAGGTAACCAATCTCTTCTTCAAAGCGTCCTCGTTGTCGTCAGATCTCTGGACCAAAGGCTCGCCAGAAACGTCGTCAATCATCTCCTTCTTTGGTGGGTTGAACAACTTGTGGTAAGATCTACCAGAGGCTGGGTGGACCAATCTACCGGTGATTCTGGCCACCAACAACTCGTCGTCGATCTTCAACTCGACAGCGTTCTCCAATGGGGTCTTTCTGTCGTTCAACATGTCGTCCAACTTCTCGGCCTGAGGAATGGTTCTTGGGAAACCGTCCAAGATGAAACCGTTCTTACACTCCTGGTTATTCTCCAACTCGGACTTGATCATGTTGACCATGATCTCGTCGGAAACAAGACCACCCTGGTCCATGATCTTCTTGGCCTCCTGACCCAAAGCGGTCTTGGCGGCGACCTGAGCACGAAGCATGTCACCAGTGGCCAAGTGGCAGGCACAGAACTTCTCCTTCAAGTTTGGAGCCTGGGTACCTTTACCGGCACCTGGAGGCCCAATCAAGACCATCTTCACGGACTTTGGGATATCTGGGACAATGCCAGCCTTGGTTTCCAAAGCGTGGATTCTGTCTTGCAACTTGGTGATGGTGGATTTGAGGTCTTCGACGGACATTATTTGTGGAGGTGGATTCGACCAGTGAAATTTTGATTCACCCGCACAAAGTTGGGTGGAGACTCCATGCAGGATGTTGAACGGCTCACCTGAGGAACGGGGAAGAGATGGGTCAGAGGAGGTGAGGAGGAGGTAGTAAAGGCTACAATAGTGACAAGTGTTGGAGATTATGGGATTGACGACAGCAGAGGAGAAAAATACTGAAAATTGCAACGTCATCACGTGCCTCACATCACGTGCCAAACACGTCCTGTAATTCCACAAAGACGTGTCCTACATCGTCAATGCAAAACATTTACCATTTTTTCCGCCTCAACTTCACCCATTGTCTTCACACTGCTTACTAATGACATGGTGAAACCTCAAGAGGGGAGCCATTATCCCGCCTGCGGACCGAGGTTCCACGTCACGTGACTGTCTATCACGAGTAGATCAATTAAACGCCTAACGCTTTCGCTGCATTACAGCTGCACCTATAAGCAGCCCCGTTTTATAAACCTTGCTCATCAGCCAATAAGAAGGTCAATCTTTGAATCAAACCGTAAATCGTTTTCTCATACATATGTAACTTCCCGAGGCTCCGCCCCTCTCTTCGTCCTCCCCTCCTCACCGTTTTTTCGCTTAAGCCCGGTGCAAACTTCACGTGCATTTCCCCCAGACACACTACTTATTGCACCCATCCCCCACATTTAGTAAGCAAAACACCATGAAGCTTTCAACTATTTTGATTCTTCTGAAGCTCCCGCTCGACTTCCTTGTGGTCATTCTTCGGTACTTCATTTTCGGAGGTATCAAGGCCCGCAAATACAGAAAGTCCTTGGCCAATCTTCTCAAGGTCAAGCTCTATAGAACCGCGTTACTGGTGCCAATCTCAGACTCCAAATGGCTTGCTCCATATTCCAATGACTTCTTGATCCAGAGAATTCTTCCTACAATCGCTCCTGCTTTGACCAAGAATGTGCCAGGCTACGGTGAACGCTATGACTCCAACTCCATCTGGCTCGTCAAGCAGCCTGATAGATCTCCCAATGATCCAATTATCTTCTTCTTGCACGGTGGTGGTTTCTTCCTTCAAACCATGCCTCAGCAGCTTCGCTCGGTCATGTCCATCTACCACTTGCTTGATCCTTCCATCAAGAAGAAGACCTCTGTTTTGCTTTTGGACTACAAACTCGCTTCCAAGGGCCACACCTTCCCTACCCAGATGCTCCAGCTCGACCAGAGCTACCAGAGACTTGTGCAAGAGGGCAACAAGAACATCATCTTGATGGGAGACTCCGCTGGTGGAAACTTGGCTGTGGGACACACTCAATTCCTCAAGGCCAAGGATGAGCCAGTCCAGTACCCCACGAAACTTCTTTTGATCTCGCCATGGGTCAAGTTGGCACCCCTTCCTCACGACATGACGAAGCAGTCATCCTGGAGACAGTGTGAGGACTACGATTTAATTCACCACTCCAAGTTTGCGGATATCTCGGAATTGGCTTTGATCATTGGTGAGAGAGACGCTTTCTCGCTTGTGTGGTCGCCAATGGGTAAGACTCCTCGCCAGAGGCTGGACTGGTCTTCCATTCCTAACTACTCCAATCCCAAGTACGATGTTCTCGTGCTTCTTGGAGAGGACGAGAGTTTCCGTGACGATATCTTAGAGTGGTCCAAGTACGCTTTGGACGTGCCTTTCCATGGTAAAGCCTACGGAACTGAGGAGGGCTACACTGAGGACAACTACACTTTCGAGCGCCGCAACGAAGCTGGCCACGCTAATCTCAGTTTATACGTTGAGCCACAGGGCCTCCATGACGCCATTTTGTTCTTCGAGGACACTGTCCACAAGCAGGTTGGAGCTGGACTCAGAGCGGGCAAGCCGCTCACCATCAAGGACGTCGACTCGAACAAGTACTTTGGCATCTACCGTATGGTGAAGTTCCTCAACGAAAGGCTCTGAGTGCCATTATAGACTAATATTATTTATGGTGTGATGGGGATCTATGTAGAATTAAAGTTGATGCGTGTGCACCTCTGGGACGTGCTGGACCTTGACCAAAGGTCTGTAGATGGGTTTCCACATTTGTGATTGCACCCACTTCAAACACTTGTTGAAATCTCTGGGCACCTCAACAAAGCCTCCGCTTGGTTTCTCTTCGCTCTCAACACGAGCAGTACCTTCCTTTAAACTCTGCAAAATGATAGCAGTAGCGACATGAGCAGAAACCTCGTCGATTTCTTCAAGAGGGGGAAGCAAACCGTTCTTTGGGTTTTCCATCTTTGGAGACAACAGAGCCAAGCAGTCCACACCGGCGGAGATCATTGTATCCGTGATGGTGGTACATCTGGAAAGAACAGCACCTAAACCAATACCAGGGAAGGTGAAGCAGTTGTTATTTTCAGAAATAACGTGGCCGTCAACGGGCTTGAAAGGAGATCCAGTAGCAATCAAGGCCTTTTCGTCGGTCCATTTCATGATGTCGATAGGGAATGCCTCGTGCAAACGAGTAGGGTTGGAAAGTGGGAAGACGATTGGTTGTGGGTTGTGCTTGTACATTTCCTTGATGACTTCTTCGGTGAAAGCACCTGCTTGTGTGGAGCAGCCAACCAAGACTGTAGGCTTCACAGCACCAACAACGTCTTTAAGCGACTTGGTGTTGACACCTTGCCAGAGAGAGTCTGGATCAGCGTAACGCTTCTGGCCCTCGGTGGAGTCGTCAAACGATTCAAGAACAACACCTCTGCGGTCCATGATGGTGATTCTCTTGCAAGCATCCTCGACAGTAGAACCATGCGAGACCATGTGGTTGACGATCTGGTCAGCTACACCCAAACCAGCAGAACCAGCGCCGTAAATCAACACTTTGGTATCAAGAAGCTCACGTTCACTGAATTGAAGCGCAGCAGTGATGGAAGCCATGACCACGGCACCTGTGCCTTGAATGTCGTCGTTGAAAGAGGGCAAGGCGTCTCTGTACTTGTGCAACATCTTACGTCCAGTAGAGACACCAAAGTCCTCATAATGCAAAACGGCCGAGGGAAATCTCTCTTTCACGGCGCTGATGAACTTGTCCACGAACAGCCAGTACTGCTCTCCTCTGACACGGTCGAACTTGTTGCCCATGTACAAGTCATCGTGCTGAAGCTCCTTGTTATTCGTTCCCACGTCAAGAACAACAGGAAGCACTCTGCCGGGATGAATACCTCCACAGAGCGTCATGAGCCCCAACTTGGCAATGGCGATACGAATACCACCCACACCTTGGTCACCAATACCCAAAATACCCTCACCGTCAGAAACGACAATGTAGTCAATGTCCTTGTCTTCACCGTAGAGGGACAAACGCTCGTCAATGGAGTCTGGATCCGTGATATCCAAGAAACAGCCTTCTGGCTTTCTGAATCTGTGGGAATAGGCAGCAATGGCGTCTCCTTCTGTAGGTGTATAAATGATGGGCAACATCTCCCTGATGTGTCTTCTCACCAACTCGTAGTACAAGACCTTGTTTTGCATTCTCATGGACACCAAGAAGTCGTTCTTGGCAAGGGGACTCTTCAAGTACTGGAATTGAGCATATGCTCTTTCAACCTGCTCGTCCAAGTTGTTCACCTTACTGGGAAGCAAGCCTATAAGGCCAAAAGCCTCTCTTTCTTCTCTTGTGAAGGCTGATCCCTTGTTGAAAAGTGGCGAATTGAGCAACTGGAACCCCGACAAATTGCACTCGATGGGTCCTTCAATCGAAAGACGGGTGGTCTTTGGTTTCAAAGCTGCAATGGCCGCCTTGATACCCACCGGGGTCTTGATTGTGTGTGTATGAATAGACAGGCATTCCTGGGAGTTGAAACGAACGGACCTGTTGATGCTGGACCGGAGGGTCTGGCTGGATCTTAAGAGAGAAGGCATCGCTGGAGGGTTGGAAAATGTGGAAATTGAGGTAATATATAGACGTGGGAGGGGTCGAGCCCTCGGAACTGATAGCGCTCTTCGTAGGGTGACCCCTGAACGGGCTTCACCCGGCCAAATTGGACTCAAATTACATGGGTGTGTTGCTAGATTTCCGGTCTACACGTCTAGCTAGATTATGCTTTACCTTGACCAGTTCATTAGGTCTTCGGTTAAGGCAGCCTCGACTTTCGAGGGTACTGCGGAAGAAGTCGGTTGCACCCAACAGCCGTGCAGTGCCCCGCTTAGGCGATGAGGGTTAAAACGAGAGAATTTTGGACGGAAAACTACTTGAACGTTGAAACCAGAACGACTAAACCGCCTCTTCTCCATCTGTGGCTTAGGTCGTATGCTTTTGTCATTAACCTTTTGTTGCTCGTCTCGGGGCCAGACTACTCCGCAACGGGATCCTGCAAATCTATGCGCAGCCACAGACCCCACAAGCGCAGAACCCAACAACAGATATAGATTCAGTTAAGAGAGTCTACCAAAAAGTAAGAATTGCCGTAGCAGCGGGATCACTCCATCAAGATACAGACTCCTATGCGTCGAGTTTTTCAGCTCAGCCTCCTCGTGATTTCCACTCACTAAGAGACCCGCGACAGCGCGTTTGACACATCGATGCGCGGGAAAAGTCGGGACCACAAGTGAGGTTTTTCCGAATGCCTTTCGAGGTGGGGCTTTCTCCAACTCCGACGCCGGTCTCACATTGGGCGTTCCGGCGATTTACGCAAAAGGAGGGGTAGAGGCCTGTACTGAAGAGGAATTGAACCCGCTAGTGTTACACCTTCGGGGATGGCCTGGCAAGCCTGAATTGGAGCTCAATTGCTTAAAATAGGAGAGTTGCGTTCTGTCAAAATTATCCGACTATTTCACGCATCTGTCGTAATTTCGGATCGGTGAGTGACTTTTTATGTTTGCTCTTTGAAATTGAGACCAGGGTGCAGAAATGATCCAACCGGAGCGAACGGTTGGGAGATATGGCAGTAAACAAAAAAGGTGTAAACTTTATGATTTCAATAGATGAACTTCTGGTAATTTATAACGTAAAGAATATAATTGTGGAAGTGATCGTTTCCCAGTACAGCAACAAGGCCTGGGCTATCACCTTTTGATAGAACATCGTTTTTGAGGTACGCTCAACGCACAAGCACGTCAACCAAAGTATCAGGCCATCAATCTTCATCCTCGTTTTTGAACTCCTTAAGCTTTTTTCTCTGCAGCTCAGAGACTTCGTCATTGGCCCGTTTCTTTAAAGCTCTTTGGATTTCCGGAACAAAACAGCTTGTTCGACCACCCACTGTGACGTGATCCACAGGGTGTCCGGCCTTGGTTTTTGCCTTCTCCTTCCTGCCCTTGCCCCATCTATAGATCATGAGCCAGTGATCTGGAAACCGATGCACATTGCCTTCAACCTTCACACTCTCTTCCATTACGTAGATCAAGGCATTGTACAAGTCTTCTAGAATCCCATCAGAGGGATCCAGCACCTTCTTCGAGATAGTCTCGTTGGGATGGATCTTGGCATGGTAGAGCACCTCATCACTAACCCAATTTCCCACACCTGCAAAATGTTCTTGATCCAAGAGTAATGATTTGATGGCTTTCTTTTTGCTGAGCACAAGACCTGCAAAATCGTCCTTGGTGAGCCTAGGGCGACCATGGTGGTGTGGATCAGGGTCACCAAACTCAAAGGAATCGTCACCACTCTCTTCCTTCTTAACTGGGTTTCCTTCAGCACTTTTCAGGTAGTCCGGGCCAAGGCTTTTGAGCGGGTCCTGCTGCAACAAAAGCTCATCGGTAGCATACTCTGGTCCACTAAGAATACGAACTCTGCCGAGTCTTCGTGGATCTGTGAAGGCAAAGTCCAATGTTCTAACGGTCTGTTCGGTTTCTCCACTCTCCAGCTTCACGGGAGAATCGCTCTTCTCAAGCAGCAACTCAAACTTGGTGAACCGTGGTGGCCATTCAGCTTCTGAGTCAGTCTCAATGGGTGGTTTATTCGACCTCTTGTTGGTACTTCCCTCGGTGGTTCCTTCTGCCAAATCCTTTTGGGACTTTCGATCAAGCACCTTCTTGTCGCCGCCGCCTTCCATGAAGATCAAATGAGACTCGATATCACGAAGCTTGATCATTCCTGTCATGCCAAAGTGCATCAACATCACGGTGGGTGGGAACGAGGGTTTTGCAAGTCTCATCCAGAAGTACTTTCCATGGCGGCCAATTGAGGATATTTCAGCACCATTGAGACTATCTCTGAACGTATTTAGCGTGCTCTCGGGGTCTTTAGCAGTCTTAAGCGCTGGAAAGAGCAATGTATCGACATTGAGCTTGGCCTCTTTGATCTTGAAGCCCAACACGTTCCTCCGAAGAAGCGCACAGACGTGTGCCACCTGCTGTTAGACAACGAAAAATAAAATCAAAAGTAATTGAAGACTTTAGTCACATACCTCTGCTACTTCAGGCATAAGGGTTTATTCGCGATGCAAAAAGAGAAGTGCTCCACGGGAGGTTCGAACTCTCGACCTTCAGATAACACAAGCTTGCTTATGAGACTGACGCTCTGCCTACTGAGCTAGTGAAGCGCTTCGTGGCGGAAAGTGCGCAATACGTGATCTATAAAGTATTAGAGAGCAGTTTTGAACCCGCGCAAAATGATGAGTATCCGGTCTAAAGAGCCGAAATTTTAACATGGTATTTATGGGTGCACTCTCAACTGATACTAGGGTTTTCAGCAATTTCTAGCAAGATTTAGCCCCTCTATCCTGTTAGGTTTGTTTTGTGGTTGAGTTACCCTTCTGCAATGGTAAAAGACGTAAGGGAACTGAATTCACGAGCACATATGGAGCCCCATGGGGAAGTTTGAAGAGATTGAGTATAAACGTAGCCCTTGTTGCCCTATGGCTGAAATTATACATCGTCATCCGACTATCACATTAATCTTGCCGCCTCTTCCATGAGTATATACCACCACTTTATAGATCCAACGCAACCTAGAGCTTGCCATTCAGAAACATTTTCCATCTCATGCTTTCAATGGATACTGTCTCTCAACTTTCACTCACTTAGGCTCGAAAATAAAGAAGCTGGCTCTTCATACCATTATTTGCTAACTTAGCCGTGCCGCCAACTAAACTATTACTTGGTATATAATCTGCGTAACTCTTGACATCGTACATGCTACCCAATGTTGAATGGGCAACAATATCATAGATAGGCCTCGGATCCCCTGCGTCGAAGTTGTGCCCCACCATCCAGATTCATCTGTAGCAATATATAAACCCCCAACAGCAAATATACTAGTGACCACAGCTTTCGAAACTTTTCTGGCACAGTCAAATTTCGTGTAGCCAGCCTCTGTACAATGTTCATAAGCAGTCACTACGCTCAGCGCACCCCATCCAGTTAGTGCATTAGCAAACATCCAGGCACTCGTTTTAGGGTACTTGTTTGTTATTGTCGTTAAAAGAAATGGTCCCTTGTATGTATCTGCATCATCATCTCGCTTTCCGTTCCATTGCGTGCTATATTTCTCATGCTCAATAGCCTCACTTACAGTGTCAGTAACTGTCCTGACACAATTCTTGCAATGCACTTTGGTAAATGCAGCGGGTGTTCCACTGCTACCGTCAATCACATCGTACATTGTGTTTGCCAACACTAATACAAGATAATTTGTAATTATGAATACCGGACCTATTATCATGAAAGTAATAATGTTTGTTATCTAGTACTGTGTTAATGATAAAACCTGTGTGGCTCCAGTTAAAAAAAATCCAGACATCCCTAAGAAGTGATTGGGACATGAGCTGGAGGATGTATGTGGATACGCCTGATTACTGGTGGAGCAAGAGTGATGCAGGTGTGTAGAACCAGTGTATACTAAGTTACTAGCAACGAATTTAAAATGATATATCTCACAAGAAAAAAAAAAAAAAAAAAAAAAACCGTCGGTAGTGATTTCTACACTGGAGTAGCGCCACCTCCGCATACCTGTGCGAAAGTCACTATCAACTATCTACTACAACATGAATAGACTCTTTGGAACGAAAAGCAATGCACCCAAGCCATCGCTCAACGATGCCGTCAAAAATATCGATGAACGCGTGGGACTGCTAGATGTCAAATTATCGAAAATCAATTCGGAGTTGTCCACGTATCAGCAGAAGATAAGCCGCATGAGAGACGGTCCAGGCAAGAACGCATTAAAGCAGAAAGCATTGAAGCTCTTGAGACAGAGAAAGCAGATCGAGGCTCAGAAGGATCAGCTCGAGACTCAGCTGTGGAACATGACCTCGGCATCCATGACCACGGATAACCTCCAGAACACAATGATTACTGTGGACGCCATGAAGACAGCGAACAAGCAGTTGAAGAAAACTTACGGCAAAATCGACATCGACAAGATCGAACTGTTGCAAGACGAAATGTTGGATCTTATAGAGAAGTCCAACGAGCTTCAGGAGTCTCTTCTGACAAGCTATGACGTCCCTGACGACATTTCCGAGCTGGAATTGGATGCCGAACTTGATGCTTTGGGAGAGGAGATGGACTTTGAATCGGAAATGAATGAGTCAGGCTTGGGCGTGCCTAGCTACTTGAATGAAGCCGACCCGGCTCCGGACAAGTTGCCTGCGTTCATAGATGAGCCGGAAGAAGCTGAGAAGGTTGCGAACTAAGTCCCCATTGTTTTGGATTTACGTCTGTTATGTCAGAAATTAGCTCACTACTCGGTTAGGAGATTTGTCATGCAAAGGGCAAGAAGCCAACGGTATTTCGCAGCATCTCGTACTGATTGACATGACACGGCGCATCAACTTGCAGCGAACGTGTAATGCGGACAAAGGGCGCTCACACTTCGAGAGAGCAAACCGGGTGCAAACGGTTTAACCCGAAAATATTTTCCTGATGTTTGGCAGATCCTTACGTGAACACAGCCGCTGGACAGATAATTCTTTCCTGTTGGAATCAACGGCCAGCATACATTTGAAAACTATTTAATAGACGTTTTACGTCTCCTTCAAATGTCCAATGATTTTTCTGTCTTTTATCACATCCCTCGCCTTGTTTGGTATTGCCTTGGGCCTGAGAAATGCTTCGCTAACCACGATCTACGCGACCTACAACCTGTCAGGAAATACGCTGACTATTAGATCCACCGAGCATGTTATCACTACCGCAACTGAGCTTGTTACGTATTGCCCGGAGGCCACCACTTTTGTGGTAACTGGCTGTGACAACGAAGGTTGTGCCCCAACAACTGTTTCAGTTACTAGTCCGTCTACAGTGACCAAAACAGGAAGCTTCGTCATTTCCTCAGACGTGATTGTTGAACCTACGGTTGATGGAGAGTCGTTTGAAAGCAAAACCACATTTTCTACGTTGAAAGTCTCGAGACCACCGTCCTCCGTGGCAGTCCGCCCTACACTAACTCCTTTGTACACCAACACCACGGATTCCAAGCCTACTCAAAGTCAGCTGACATCATATGTGCTGCTCTCATCGTCGGTGCCACATAACTCAACTGGTCCTCAAACTAATGAGACTGTGTCCAGTATTAAAATTGACGGTAGTGGCGATGGAGACGAGTCGGACACGATACTGGGTGACAATTTTATTGATTATTTTGGTAAGCTCGGTGCGTTTGGCGGCTTCAGAGGTGGCGGCTCCAGCGGTGGCGGCTCCAGAGGTGGTGGTTACAGAGGCTTTGGAAGTGGTCACCAATCCGCCGGCTCCCGCCCTGATGCCAGTGTGTGGATTATGTTTGCCGCTCTTTTGATCGTATAAAATTATCGGGATTGGTTCGTATCTATCGTGATCTATAAATGCAAGTCTATAAGTTTCCCTTCTTCAAGTTCTTCAGGTATTGTACAACAACGACGACCAACAACACGTTGCTTGCCAAACATAATGCAGCCATAAGCGTGTAGACTCCGCCAATGCCCATAGTACTGTCCATTTGGTCCATTGCCGCCACAAAAGCCGCTGCAAGGATGCATCTCACCAAATTGACACAACTAGTGGAAGCCAGGCCTCTTGCAGGGTAGAGGTCCACAAGCATGGTGGTGACGACAGCAATGAAGGCTGAGCTGCCAAAAGAAGCAAAGCACAGGCCAATCACCACACCAACCACGCTGCCTTTCTTGTCGAGCATCCAACCAAAAAGCAAGAGGCCCAATAATGTCATAAACGTGGGGATGATGGCGACATCGAGACGCACACGAATCTTGTTAAAAGGCGGACGGCTCTCTTTGTCGTAGTTGGCGTAGGCTTCCTCGTACTTCTTGCGACGCCAGCAGTAGTAGTCGTTGAGCACCTTTCCTGAGAGCATCGATGCTGCAAGACAACAAATACCCTGGGGCAAGTACATGTAACCGACACGCATGACGGTGTAATTATAAGGCTCATCTTCGAGAGCCGTGGATAAGGAGGTCAAGCACATTGTCCATGAGGCGAACTGGAGGCCACTAGGAAGAAGCACAGCGATCACTGTGGGTTTGATCAAGATTCTCCAAGGGGCCAAAAAGTCTAGTGGCACGCGAGTTGCCAAAGTAGAGCAGTCGTTATTAACATACTCTCTGTATCCCGGTAGGAGAAGCGCAGGAGCAGCATGGAGAGGGTTCTTGGGCTTGACAGAGCCGTTTCCCACGATGCTTCGGCACGTCTCGGTGAGAAGGATAAAAATAAATATTAAGGTGACGCCGGCACCGATGGCAAGAAAGACAAACACGGCACGCCAGTTCCAGGTTGATATAAGTCCCGAACCAATAAGCGAGCCGAATGCCTGACCGACCAAGAGCATTCCAGACACCACACCCACAAAAGCACCACGATTCTGCGGCACACAGACATCACCTGCAATACCTGAATTAATGGCGATAACCTGGGCAATGCCAGCCGCTTGGACGCATCGTAAGAACACCAAAAGCCAGTATGTGTCGCTCACGGCTAGGCCTATACTAGCACCGATGTAGATGAGAAATGCAATCAACACCATGGGTCTTCTGCCGTACGTGTCAGCAAAGTTCGCCGTAAACGTCGGCGTGATGCCCTGAAACACCAAGTAAGCCACCACCGTGAGGTTCATGGCTTCCAGAGATACACCAAACTCACTGGTCAAGGTGGGCAACGCAGGGAAGTAGATGGGGTTCAGCACAGAGCTCCAGATTCCAATCACACTGAGCAACGCCATGAGCACGTAGCGGCGCCAGCTATCGAATATAGTGTAAGGAGGAGGTAGCTTGTCGTTTGCAACCAGCGATGAGGCGTCATTGTGGAGAACAGACAGCGTCTCGTTGTGGTCAGAGTCCAGCAGGGGCCGCAGGGCGTCTGCTTTGGTTTCCAGTTTTAGGCTGGCCGGACTCATCTGAGGTCGAGTTTTGTGTTATTGGAAAACACTGTGGTTTATGGTGAATATATAAGGACTGATGCGCTGCGCTCGGTGCTAGCTGCCGAACCGCCGAGGTGCCACAACGGTAGGGCACAGGGAGCACAGGTCATGGTTTTTGGGGATCAGTTGAAATAAAAGAGTCATAGTGGGAAATGAGGATTTTGGGTGAATATGGAAAAAGAGGTGTGGAGACGAAGTTAAGTATGGGTGTTTGAATTCAGGCGGTGTGGGCTTATCTGCGGGCTTATCAACGGTTTCGATGTACCTGCGTCGGTGCAGATCCACGAAGCTTAAATGGACGGAGAGAAAAGGTAAGGTTATTTTCATGAAATATGAAGGTGACATTAACTTACAAAATTGATATCCTTAGGCTGTGCCACCAGTCTGACGTTCAATTCAGGTAGTTGGTCTTCGCGTTTGCAGCCAGTGACTCACATTAAGGCATGATGCGTGACAACAAGGAAATGAACACGGAATGCTTACTCACGGGCCGGATGAGCGGATGAGTCTTCATCGGAAAGGCGTTGATTGTAAATTTCTCGGTGATAACTCTCGGAGATCGAGCTGGTAGCCGCACCACCGGATGTATGCATCTGGCCCTTTGCAGCAATGACTGGACCGTTTAACTAACTGTTTTTGACACTTCTGCTTCGAACTACAAGTTTCATCAAACAAAGCTATATCTTCTGTTTGAGTCCATACTGTTCAATTCCATTTCCAATCAAAAAGCTACACTCTCCTCCATCTCATTACTTTTATTTCTATACTCAGTCGCTTTAGTATGACCTCACAGATCCTTTACCCTCTACTTCTTGACGAACACGCTCCACTTCACTTTCGTCACTGCTTCCTTCTCCTGGAACAGCCACAGTCTTCGCAGGTCCATGGTACACCTTATGTGCATAGACCTTGTAGTAGATCAAGGACAAGATCCACACTCCTGGTGTGATCACACAGGTATAGTTCATTGTGTCCTTGGTTGGGTTGAGATTTGTTGGGAACATGACCATGACGATAGTGAAAGTGATAAAACAGGTGGATACCCATCCATTGACTCTGCTCCAGAACTCACCCAAGAAGAAGGGACCAGGTCTGAACTTCTCCTTCATCGATAGAAGACGTAAAAAGGTAGGCATGCCCCAGGCAAAGTAATTGCCAGCAACGTACAAAGTGAACAAAGCCGAGGAGGCAGCGTCACCGATGATACAGAGAAGGCCAACCACTATAGCAGCAGCACCTCCAGTGAAGACAGCGTGAATGGGAACCGACAATTTCTGGTTGACCTTCTTAATCCACCACGACATTGGAAGACCGTTGTCTCTGGCAAAAGCGAAAATCTGTCTGGACATGGCAGTCAAAATAGAACCACCCATGAGAAACTGGCCAATGGCAATAAGAGCCATCATTGCAATAGCCATGCCTTTTCCTTGACCAGGAACAGTCTCGAATGCGTCGTAGATGATCTGAGCCATGGGCTGGCCGAATTTGCTTCCCAAGATGTGGTTCTCGATATCAGGGTTCTGGATGCAAAAGCAAGTGACAATCAACAAGACAAAGCCTAGGATGCCGCAGGTGCCGATGGCGCCCAAAATACCTATTGGGACGGTTTTGGTAGCATTGGTACATTCTTCTGACATATGGACGCAAGAGTCGAATGAACCAATAGCCCAGATTGCAGGCAACCAAGCTTGAGAGAGCTGGTTCCAACCCATGGGGTAATTTGTAAGGTTATCAAACTCCCCAAATACCCAACTAGCCTTCTGAAATTCACCCCGAGATGCGGCGATAGGCATAGCAATTATGAACAAGATTACCAAACCAGTATTCCAGATGGTGGAGGTGGTTTGTAAAGTAGCACAGTTTTTGGATGAAAGACATGTCAAGGCTATATGTGCCACTACACAAGCAGCGAAGACACCATAGGTCTTGGCTGGTGTGACTTCGAAATCGCCGTCAGTAGCGATAACCACAATAGACAAGAGCTCCTGGGCAAATCCGTAATCCACAGAGCAAAGAGCTCCGACCAATGCAATGGAGTTTGTGTTACCCACAACGTATGAAATCACAGTTTTGAATCTAGCTGGGGCGTAATAGTTTGTCCAGTAGTAAAGGCCACCAGAAGTGGGTTGGAACGAGGCATTCTCACTCATAGCCAAACCGATAGTAAAAGTCAACGCAGACGAGATGAGCCAGCCCCAGATCGCTCCTGCTGGGCCTGCCAAGAGACCATGATTCAAGATCGATGCCACAGAGGGCAAAACACCCATAATGGAGTAGGCAACTCCGAATACCTGAATGGTGTTGAATCGACGTTTAAGCTCGGGCTTATAGCCGATTTGGGCAAGAAGATCATTATCTGAAGTTGCGTTGAGGGCGTCTGGAAGAGGCAGCTCGACATTGTGTGTGTTGTTGAAATATCGCTTGTCCGAAGTGACAGCCTCAAGTATCTCCTCGCCAGAAAGCACAGGATGGAGCATCTTGGTTGGGAAATTTGGATGAGCGGCTACCACATTATATATTTCTATACGATTAGAGTTTTGGCTTTCGGCATGTCTAATAAAGTAGCGGGAAACCCTACACAGCTGTCGTTGGCTATGGCGTTTTTTGATCTTCGCGATAAGAGATAAGAGATAGGCTGTGCATATCTTAGCGGCACTTCGAATTGGGATAGGCGAGATTGTTGCACTTGTAAAAAAAACCAAGAAAAAAGAAAAAGAAAATTTATTTCTCGAGGGTCCAAATTAAACAATAGCTGAATTTTACTTTTAGATTCCTGATATTCGTCGGCTATGTCCAGTTTTCGCTTGAGCGATTTTGGCGACTGTAAGCGGACAAGCGTCGACGGAGGGGAGCAACGCTAAAGTTTCGCAACCGTGACTGAATTAAGTTCATCTTACTTTGGTGCTCGGTTAAAAAGTCTTCGATTTACGATTATTCTCTTCCCCTCGGAGTGAGCACACTGATTTCCGTGGCGTCAGAGATCAGCCAATGGAGTACTCCTCTGGCTGCAGTGACATCTACTGGCTCTCCACATGAAGATCTTGTCACAAACCCGATGTAAGGGGCACAAATTCGTACAATGGCTTTTTGCACCATTGCGGTGGCTAAAGCTACATTCAACCCACTGGTAATCGCATTATATTCAATATCATGATCTCATCTCGCAATGGCTGAAGCAGCACATCTATCCTATCTAATAATTAACACATATTCTCATGACCCATGTCATATAATCCACGCTCCCGCGTCCGCTTCTCTGTTCATGTATTGACAAGGGTATATACGCTCACAGCTTGTTGTACTTCTTAGCCGGCGGGTTCTTGGGCGTGGTGATCATGAAGTTGATGCCATTCTTGCTGGCCTTGTGCCGTTTCGGGCGGTCCTCCCGCTCAGGTGCTGGCGCCTGCGCCTGGCCCCAGGGAAACACCGTTCCCACTGGAGGAGGCACAAAGTACTGTGAGGGCATAAGGGGACCTGGCACGCCCTGCGGCGACGAATTAACATAGTAGTAAGGAGGCGGCTGCGTCTGTGGAGGAGGCGGCCGCTGGGGGCCCAGACCAGGCGTTCTGGGGTACTGTAGTGGCAGCAGCTGGTACACCACAGGGTACTTGTGGGAGTAAGGCAGCCCCAAGTTTTCTGACTCCTCCAGCTGAGAAGTCAGCTTCAGGTGGTGCGGTGCCTGGGCGGTTGGTGGGTTGGCGGCGGCAGGCTGGCTTGTGCCTTGTGGAGCAGCCTGGCCTTCTGGGTAAGCATAGTACACTGGGTAGAGGTGCTGAGGAACCACGGGAACCTGGGGCAGCTGGGAGGTTGGCTGAGGCTGCGGAGGCACCAGTTTGGACTCGCTTTTCGGCAGCGCCCTGCTTTGAGCTTGGGAGGCCGGTTTGGACTCGTTTTCCGTTCCGGGCGTATGGACACTATCGGTGGAGTTTTTCCGTTTTGCACCCAATGCAACAGGCTGCGAGGACGCTGGAGGCTGCAGGCCTGGAGGAGGCTGCGAAATGGCCGGTGGCTGCGAAATGCCTTGTAGGTGAGTCTGGAGATAGTGGACATACAGGTGGGGGTTGTCGTTCAAGAAAAGACGGCGAATCACGTCGCTGGAGATCTCGTGCTGCTGCGCCTCCCGCAAGAGCTCCAACACAACCTGGCCCAAGTCGTGCTTGATCTGTGTGTGTTTGGTCTTTTCCTGTTCGATGCGAAGCCGAATGAGCTCATTGAGGGTGTCTTCTGAGTAAGGCCAGGGTTTGTCCAGAGGGAGCAGAAGAGCCCGTAGCACGTCGCCGTGAGGGGGCTCCAATGGCGATTTGAGTGGGTTTTCCAGCGATAGCAGGCTCAGTCGGGAGTGTGATGTAGTATGGGGAGCCAGTTTGGCAGCCTTGGGCTTGAGATGCTCTTCTTGTGGCGCCGCCTGGTATTTGTATTTGGGGTCAATGTCAAAGGACTTTAGGCTGGGTAGGAAGCTTGCGGGCGACAGCTCTTTCTTTTGGTCGTCGGACCGGTGGTTATTGCCAACAGCGGCAGGGGCCATGCCTGAAGGCGCATTCATAAGATTCACGAGGGATAACACTTTGGCGGATAAGTTTTTGGGACAAAAATTGAAAACTTGCACGGGACTGGCAGGGGGTGGTTGTCTGTGACGACGTCTATAATATGCTAGGATGAGGGCTGTGGGGCATGCCCTTTAGGGGTGGTGGAAGCGAATGGGGGCGGTTGGTGGAAAAAGTGGCCAGGAAGAAAAGGTGTGCAAAGAATAGTAACAAATAAAAGAAAAAAAAAAAACGGATCAACCCGCCCGGACAGGCACTGCTGATGGCGTGAGGAAGGACAAATGTTTTGGAACGCTGCATTCCTTCGGACACATACAAATTAGGGAATGATTAGGGTACGTGAAAGAGTAATTAGGCTGTAATTGTGTTGCAGCAGCCAGACGCACGGGCAGTTACCAGATCGGGTAATGCCATTTTTCCCACTTTTTCCAGATGCGGTGATTGTCTGCTGCCGGCACCGCTGCCGGGCGTCTAGTTCTTGGTTGTTGCGGGCCCACTGCTGCTTTCGGTTTGCATGGAGACCCGTTTATACGAAATACAATCAGCACGCTGTGCTTTTCCTCTATGCGTTCCCGTGGAAACGGCTGCACCTCTAGTTTAGGTGCGCATGCTCTGTGCACCACCCCATCACACTTTATTTCCCCATACGGCAAAATGCGTGCAATCACTTTGCCGCATTGGGCAACTCTCGCGTCGATACCAATACCGTTTTGGTGTTTTTCTTCAATTGCTTCCTCAACACTCACCTGCTGCCGCAACTGCGGTTCCTGCCGCCCACCTGCGTCGTTTACGTTGCTCTCAGCCAGGGGTGTCGCTGCCCATGCTTCGAGTGTCAAAAAAAAGTGCCACAAAACCGCCCTTTCACATGCCGCCTTTCACATGCCTAAGCGAAGCTTGTAGTTTTTTTTTAACATATTTTGCAGCCACCAGTCCTAAGCTCCCTTGGAGGCGCCCATGGCCCAATTTCCCGTTTCAGCACTCGTCATTCCTTGCTCCTTTTCTTATTCCAGACATCGCTCCCTCGCAGATAGGAGTACTCACAAGCATACCCACTTCGGAACATTGTTCGGTGTCTTGCTACTCCGAAACCGTCAACTCCTAGGGTCCACCCACTCCGCACCCCCTTCCAACGCCGTAGCTTTTCCTGCAATGGTGACATCAAAAACACCTTATTTGGCAGCCAATGTTGGTTGTGATGTAATGGGATGTGTTCCCGGTGTCTTCTTTGTTGTTCGATCGTTTCATTGATGAGAGGAGAATTGGCTCCAGGGGTTTGACAGAACAATTTTCACTGTCACCTGTGCTCTAAGCCCTCTGGTCCCCACTACTCTTTCTTCCTCATGCGGCATCAATCGTGGTGGAATGCACCCACTGTAGATCACAATCTGGGAAATCGGTTCCTTGCAGATGACAATATCTAGATTACTCAGGTGGAGATCAGCTGTCTCCCCTTTTGGCCGACCGCTCTTGGAGTTGCCGGTTGAGAGGATGCTCGTTCATTGTTTCTTGGGTTTTACAGAAATATGCTCCCACGGCCAAAACCCTTTGTTCGATTGAGGCTGGAATTGTTGTTCCTGAAATGGGTGAGAGCTACGGCATGCTTGCTGAAACTTTGGAAGAAGGGTCCTGGAGCCAACTATTGTAGAGTATCAAAAGTATATTAAATGGTCTGTTTCGTTGCAGATGTGATTGTCATTGTGGCTTGACTACAATTGCCGGAGATATTTTTTGTGGTTACGATCGAACCCACATACCGTGGATTGTGCCTCTTTATGGCTCCTTGAATACACCTTTCCGACCCTGGCATCCAAGAAACCATGCACCCTGGCTTGCATATCCCATACGGCATTAACCTTCGAAAAGCTTCTATCAAGACACGGAGCCTGAAGTCCGAAACTCTTTCTGTGAGTTGTGTGTGGGTTTGACATTACTGCCTAAAGCAGAAATATTCATGCTGTCATTAGGCGCAAGCCAGAACTCAAAAGCTTGTCGCCAGACTTCATACCAGATCTTGCCAAGGGCAGATGACAGCAATCTTCACGAAGGTCAGGCCTGCTGATAAGAGATTCTTTTAAAAGTCCGAATGCAAAGCTTGTTACTCATGTTTATACCATGAACTAATTGCTCTTGCGCCAAACGAGGTGCTTACATAACTATGTGTCAAATTGGTCGTTTTTGAAAACAGATAATTTGACACACCTGCGTAAATTATTATGGTCGTCAGAATGCCACGCGTTGTTGGGTAAAAAGGAGAACTTGTTGTGCCCAATCTGCGGTGCACTGACGAAAGTGGAAGTCAACGCCGCAAGCCCACATCACCTTCGAAATTGGGATTTTTGAAATTTGCCAATATTTTCCCATTGACGCTAACTAACCTTTTAAACTTCTTCCCCAATCGTAAATCTGTAATCCCCACTGTCCCATCCCCACAAGCCTCAATGGTTGCAATTCGCGCAGATCGTTATCAACAACCATGTCTCTAGTTATAGTGGGTATTGGTGGCCCCTCCTCATCGGGAAAAACCACTGTTGCTAGAGCTCTTCATCTGCTTCTTCCTAAGGCGACCCTCATACACCTTGACGATTTTTATTACCCGGACGATCAGATCCCAAATGACCACACTCACAATGTTGCTAACTGGGACTGTCCTGAGGCTATAGATTGGGAAAAGTTCAGCAATTACATCAAGGAGCTTCGGAAAAGTGATGGCGCCAATCTCCCTGTGAAAAGCTTAGAAATGGATACGCCATTGAAGTTGGACGAGAAGGACGTGGCTGAGTTGAAGCCTGCAGTGGATGCCTTTCTCGAGCTGATAAGTGGAAAACGCTTGATCTTTGTGGAAGGGTTCATGCTATTCCATGACGAGGCAATTCTGCTGTTGTTTGACAAGAAATTGTTCTTTCATGGCCCCCACGATGTCTTGAAAGATAGAAGAGAGTCTAGGCCTGGGTATCAGACTGTCGATGGGTTCTGGGAGGATCCTCCGAACTACTTCGACAACATCGTCTGGCCAGAGTACAAGAGAACACACAAGCATTTGTTTGAGAACGAGGATGTCGAAAGCAAGCTCACTGAGCAGTCGAAACAACTTGGAATCGCAGACTTCAACAACGACGGTACCTCCAATCTCTTACACATGACTCGCTGGGCCCTACAGCAAATGTCCCTCTAGTTTCCAGGTATGCTATTATAGATATACAGGTTGTGGCGAGATCACTTTCTCTTTTTGCTCTTTTTCGTCTTGCTCTTCATCTCGCTTTCGAGAATGTTGTCTGCACTGTCTCCCTTTCTCTTGGTCTTCTTACTCTTGACACTGACAACACCGTCTCCCTTGACGGCCTTCTCGGCAGCCTTGTCGTCCCACTCCTTGACATCGTCGTTGATGGCGTACTTTTTCAAGTCAAGTGCGTCGATAAGCTGTCTTTGTTTCGTCCTCAACTCAGAGACGGCCTCCTTACCAGCGGCGTTCAAGTCTTCATTAAGCTCTTGTTCAACAGCCTCTGCATCGTATCTGATGGCCTCCTCGCCGTTCATTTCACGAAGCTCATCGTCCTCAAGAGCAGGCATGCTTCTCTCAATGTCCTTGCTTAGAAGTTCACGGAAGTAGGTGGAGAACTTACGGACAATCTTGGAGAACATGGCCATGGACTGGGATGGTGGCAAGTTCAACTCCTTGGAAACATCGTCCAAGTTCTTGTGCTGCAATCCAACAGCCAACAAAATGGCTGCCTGGACAGACGATAAACCGACCTTATCACCAGTACGCTTGGTGAAGTAAAGCGATGCAATCAATGGGAGCATGTCGAGAATGACGTGATAGTCCAACATGTTGTTGGCGTACGACTCCAATCTCTTCAAGTCAAATGGCGAAAGTATAGCATCAAGCTCGTCTCTGCCGAATTTGGCCTTTTCAGCAGCACCTTCTCCCAGTTCAGCAGACTCAATAATGCTGAGGGCCTGGACGGCGGTGAACTTTCTGAACTCGTACGAAAGCAAATTCAAGAGTCTCTTGTGGAAGTCCTTGGCGAACTCATGGAGCCAGGCATCGTTCTTGTCCTTCAACACCTTGATCATAACACTTGTGTGTTCACCGGTCAACTCATTGGCGGTTTGACGCAAGTACACTGGCACGAAACCAGAACGTTTCCAGAACTTATGCAATTGTGGGGTCATACCGTAAGACACACCCAAGTAGTCCAACGAGTATGGAGCTTTTTCAGTCAACTTCAACAAAAGAGGAGGAAGAGCCTTAGCATCACGAAGACGAATCTCGTCTTTAAGAGAAGCGCCCTCCAATTCAGCATCTGACACTCTTTGGAGCTGGTGGTCATTGAGCACATTGGATTCACTGATATCAGTGAACTTGCCTTCGAAGTAGTCCTGCAACAACTCCAAAGCCTTGGAACCGTAACCCATACCAGCGTAGTCCGGGTTAGTAGCAATACGGACGACTCTGGCACCACTCAAGGAAGCAAACTCCTCATCCTGGAACTGCTGGGAAACAAGCCATGGGATCAAGTCACCACCAGCACGCTGGCCACGAGACAATGATTTTCTGACGGATTCCTTGGAAATCTCACCTTCGAGGGCCAACTGAACCACACACAATGGGTCTGGGATTCTGTTGTCACCAGCATCGATTGGAGGAAGAAGGACATACAACTGGTGAGCTGGAGCATCACTCATCAACTGCAAATCGTTTGGAGAGTTCTTGTAGTGGGACGCAACGTACAAGGCCATCATCTTCTGCAAAAATGCTTCAGACACTGGGTGGTACGAGAATAAGGTGTCTCTGTTCACGTAGAACAACTGACACTCGTTGGGGTGTGGAGTACCCTTGGTAGCAAAACGGGCATTTTTCGTGAGAGTGGCATCCAAGCACAAGAGCTTGTTGAGCCATTTTTCAACTGGATCGCCAGGAGCGTAACGAATGGGTTCATCCAAAACAACCTCTCGGAGAGTTCTGGCCATGGATGCTGTGTCAATGTCGATGCCTTTCTTGTCACGAGAGACGATGGTGGTCTCTTCATTGGAGGAATTGTTTCTGGATTGGTCTCTCAATTGCTGGATCAATTTAAGAGATAAAGAACGACCAGTACCTTCGTAACCATTGATAGTCGAGGACATGAAAACAAGGTAAGGGCCCATGAGACGCTTAACCACAGGCAATGGAATCGCAGCGGCTTCATCAATAATCACCAATTCAGCCTGGCCCAAAACGTGGTTATCATTTGGTGAAATGTACTGGATGGTCTGACGGTGCTCTCTCTTGATGTCGACTCTGACAATGGCCTTGTTGAAGGATGGGTTTGTCAGCTGGATGATGTCGTAATCCATGTGTTCAGTGTATCCCAAGGCATCGAAACCCTTGAAGATGAACTCAAAGAGGGTCTTCAAGTTCTCTGGAGAAGGCGAAGTAACGAAAATGTTGGAGTATCCGTGAGAAACAGCAGCCGCAATGGAAATACCGAGAGCAGCAGACTTACCACGACCTCTCCCGGCAGTCAAAGTGACGGTGTTTCTCAATGACTTCTCAGAAATCACATCCACAAACGTCAAGATGGCCTGGGCCTGGTTAACCGTTCTTGCAAGAGCCACAAGAGACCCAGCAGGCTGGACATCAGCCAAAGACTCTTTGAGTCCATTGAGCTCCTGTTGCTTTGGCGTGAGTTCACCGTCGTCAGCAGGAGGAAGAGCTTTGACATGCTTACCACCAGAAATAGGCAAGACGTTCAACTCATCGTCAACGACCAAACAGGTCTCACAAGAGCCTAAGGACAAGAGGAAACGCTCATTGAAACGAGCCACCACATCGTCGTGGGCCTCGGTTCTGTATCTCGAGTGGATGTCCATGGTCATGGTGTAAAGCTGCTTAAGCGAGGTCATGGACTTCAAGAGCATCACAACTAGACCACCACCTTCGACGGTCTCAACGGTACGAGCCAACAAGTTGGGCGTGATACCCTCGAAATCTTGCAAAATACACATACCGTATGTGTTACCCAAGATCTTCTCGGTCTCCTTGTAGTAGACGTATCTGATGTTCTGGTTGGAGATGAAGGCCTCGAAGGGATCCTGGTCGTTGATGTCTCTGGTACCTCTTTTGATCTCCTTCTTGATCTTATTCTCTCTCTTCTTTCTGTGCGAAGTGAAGCCCAAAAGCTGCTTCTTGTAGGCCCAAAGCACGGACTTGTTCATCTTCAAGTCTGCACTCATCATAAGATAGTGCAAATTGGGAAGCTGGTTACGGGCCTTGTCACCCACAATTATAATGAAGCTTCTCTGCTTCTCCTGGACACCATTACGGATAAGCGCCGGGATACGGGAGTCGATGGCCTTTTTTCCCATATTGAAGCTGATCTCCTTCTTGAAAATTGCAGTATCTGATATCGCGATGCTCATCAGCGGTCGTGGTGTGCTCATAAAGGCTGCCGCGAACTCGGCGCAAACTGCCTATGCTCGATTTGCAGCCATTTCTGATCATTCTTCCACCTCCTCTTTCTTTTGTCAACATGGGCGGAAAAGTCCTCCAAAGCAGCTCCATGGCAAATTTACCCACCGCCAAAAGGGCAGCTCCCCGCTCTCTCACCCAGTTCAAAATAGGTCCTCCTTTCAGCCCCACCTCTTCTGTCTTACCCATATACTCTCTGACTGGAGCCGAAGTTGAACCGGTTATCAACGCCAGAAGCGATAGAGGCTTCGATAGAGAAGATGGCGATTGGATAGGCTATAAAAGGAACTACTTTGCGTTGGTGGCCTCTTTCCACTTTCACGGTCAGTCGGTTGACATATGCTCTACTGAGTCCTTCTATACTGTAGACGAAGAAGGAGAAAAGCACCAGATCTCTTGCTTCAAGCTCGGTCTTTTTGACTACTGCTTGGATACCGGGGATACCGGCAAGTTTCTCGTTCAACACACATCAAAACGAGACAAGGGGCCCCAATTTCTGCCTCCAGTGTACAACATTGTTCCTGGACTGCTTCCACTGCATGGTTTCATGAAGCTGATCGCAAATATCCGGAATCCCAACAGAATTGACAAGTGCTACGAGCAGTTCTATTTGACCGAGAAGGAAAGGAATGAGGTCGAAAGTAGCAGTGCTTTGGCTTCGTACCCAGAAAATGCAGAGATAGCTCGTGTTGCTCGTTATGAGAGAATGCAGTTTCTGACGGTCAGCAAGCACTTTGTGCTTGGATGCAATCGAAAGTTCCGATTGGTCATCAGATTGATGTGTGAGTTGGAAAACGGCGAAACCAGGCTCTTGGCTACTTCAGAGACTCCATGTCTCAACATTCGTGGAAGGTCACCGATGAACTACGTTTCGGAAGCACCAGCAGAGGCTGACAAGGAGAATGATTTTGGACAAAAACGCAGATCTACTGAAATGTCGCCAATGGAGTATTCAACCGCTACTGTACCGTCGAAACGTTCTTGTCTTCATGCACAGGACCCTAGTACTTGGTTGCACCACTTGGAAGGATTCAAAGGCAGGGATCAAAATCATTCACATGATCACTCTGGAAGCATTGATAGATCCAGCTGCAGACGAAAAAACCAGTATCAGATCTCCGACCCCAATATCGATACTGCCCTTCTTTCCTCACCAGTGGAATCACTGACACCAAGACAAGGCCATATAGTCACTTTGAAGCTTCCAGGTTCAAAACTCAAGGATGCCTCCTTTTCGTCAAACCACTTGCAAGAGCATGATCCTGCCAAGGTCACACTCAACATCAATGGAAGTCCTATGACCAGCATGCCCAGCACCCCACGAGAAACAAACAGCTATGGGTTCAGAAGCTCAGAAATAGACCCGGCTTTTCTACAACAGGACAACGCCGTGAACGATGCCGTGGAAGAATACAGAAAAGTGCAGCAAGAGTTGAAGATTCTAGCGCCAGATCAGGATTTCGAGCTCGACTTGCCTGTTCCTTTAACTGTCCTTCTGACCAATGGAACCTCCGCAAATAGCAGTTTTTTCAGGCTGCCTCCAGCCTCTATGGGACAGCCTGAGCAGTTATGCAAGCATGGCTGCAAAATGAGGACTGAGGAGCACGAAAAACTAACCAACCTTCAGTGGATGAATCTTCAAGCGGCCGAGCTGGATCTGACATCTTTCTTTGAGAATAACACCGACTCCAGTCTCATGAGATTCCGCAGTCTGCTTTCCAGAATCAAGGCAGATATCGCTCCTGTAACTGGAGAACTGTCACCACTCTCAGATTTCAGCAACACCTACCTGGGGCCCCTATGGTGATACAATTAGCAGTTTCCTTATAATCACGAAATAGAAGTTAAAAAAAAATTGAATGAAAAAAACCCAGTAGCACTGTTGAAATTAGTTCTCTTCCATATCCACCTTCTCAGTAGGTCGTTCCGCGACCGAAATACAAATTATAGCCCAGCAGCTCACTACATCAAACCGACACCATGCTCTTCTTCAGTTTCTTCAAGACCCTTGTGGACCAGGAGATCATCTTGGAATTGAAAAATGACATCGAGATAAAGGGTACTTTGCGTTCTGTGGACCAATACTTGAACTTGAAGATGGACAATGTCTCCACGGTGAACGAGACGAAATACCCTCACTTGAAGGCCGTCAAGACCTTGTTTATTCGTGGCTCCACTGTCCGTTACGTTCACATGAGTGCCAGTGCCGTCGACTGCACTTTGCTACAAGACGCTTCTAGAAGAGGTATGTGCAATTTTGAAAAATGCTATGATATGATACTAACCAACAGAGGCCATGGTTCAAGCCGGCAAATAAACCTTGTGCTGGCTGTAAAGCCCATGCACGTGTACATTACCTTCTGTATTATCCAATATACAAAATCGGGAATTCGTTATGCTCCTCTGAGCTCGTTTCTTTATGCTATGTTGTGGGTGAATGCTTTATTACTGGCTCTGCGCTTTCGGTGGCTCTCCATTCAATCTGGCAAGGCACCTGGCTCGTGTGTGGCCTGGCTCGTCGCAGTATGAACAAGTTCTTTTCAGCTTAGCATGCTGTTTCTTGTTTCTAGGTTGGGAGGGTCGGCTATTCTGGGGTGGAGGCGCTGGATTGGCATTTTCTGAGCCAAGCTGGAGCTGTTCCAAAGACTGTAGTAGCTCCGGCACCTGTGCTCCCTTCTCTAGGGCGATTTGTCTCGGAACTAGCACGTAGTCTGACTGCTCTTTCAAACTGTAGATGAGATGCAGACAATTTTGACATCGGAGTTCTTTTTGTAGCAAATCAGCTGCTTCGGTTTTATTGGGAGAGTCTGTTTCTGGTACATTCTCGGTCACTTTGGCGATGTACTTGTCGAGAATCTGTATCTTCGCTTCATATTCTGCCTTGAGCTTGTCTAGTTCTTTTGTCTTTTGAGTAATGACGCTAGCGAGCTGACCCACTGTTGTCAGCAAATCAACAACCAGCATGGGATTATATTAGTTTTTTGAAGTTGAAGGATGGTGATGTAGGTGTAGTAGGTAGGTTAGAGGGCATCTCTCTGTTGATATCGCACCATGCACTCCACTCTCTGGATGCAAATAGATATCCAACTTATATTGACAAGGAGCAGTAGCATTGGTCAGAAAGGGGTATTCGTTTTTTCTTGATACCAAGTATTCATCATCAAGCAAGTTATCATACGATTGCTTGTTGCTTCCGAGTCTTGCAGTTCCACAGACCCTTTGGTTGGTGAAGTTAATTTGACGTCGTATCTAACTCAAATTATTCAATTGACTTCCGTTTCAATTTTCAAAGATATGAACTTGAATTTCTCATAGTAGTTTGAGTTTCTTTCCTTCCGTAGATTGAGATTTTTGACCTCTTTCGCATCACCAGTAAACCCCACCACCAGCTCAGCAATCATAGAGCTCTCCAAAAGATACGAAAGTACTTACCCGATATATTCTTGAGCTCTTTATTCCGCTCCGCTAGATATCTAACCCTAATTCTGGCCATATGGCCGTAAATCACACATAACTTTTTCCACAGACCCCCGGAGCCCATTTTAACCACATATTTGCAAATTTAGCTCATAAATGAATTCTAGCCTTAAATTTCAGCTAAATCAGCCAATAACTGAGGTCTCAAATTAACACAATATATACCACAATTTGGACAAATTTTGCGCTGTGATGGCATTTGGCAGAATCGCACCGACTCTGTACTTTGCGGTTTGTTCTACATTGAAGGTGTCCGGTTCGATCCCCGCGGTCGAGGTAGCGGTTGCTCGAGTAATCAGTATACCGTCCCTCAGCAATGAGTAGCACAATCACTGGAGGGAAGCAATTCAGCACAGTAGGCTACCCGTGGTGGAGGCGAAGCGGACGGCACGTTCTTTGGTTTCAGTTCAGTTTGTAAAGTATTGTGTGTTGAGACTCCGTTTATTTTTTGGAAAATATGATGATGGATCGTTATTCATTAGTCTATTAATGTTCTTTGGTTTTCATGCCCCGGTTGCGTCTCATCTTTGTGAGTACTTGATCCTCGATCAACTTTCGTTCACTGAAGACGAAAACGACAAGGCATGAAAAACAAATTGCTCCGCTGATGACGAAATGCTTGAATGAGGTGCTTTTGGGACCGATGATTTGAACTTGTAGAAAGTATGCAAAAATCGAGTACACCACGGACCAACTGGTTCTCCGGACAATGTTGATTTCATGCAAGTGAATTCCTTGCTTTTTGGCAAAGCCAATATATGATTTTAAGCAATATGCAATTCGAAGTGTCATGGAGGTGATGTTAGCGATAATGAGCCCGGTGAGGCCAAATTGTTGTTCTCGTACCAAAAGCACCAGGACAGCAGATGAAACGATGGTCAGGAAAAACATGAAGTACGAGTACTTTGTAATCTGACTTTGTGTAAGAATACTAGTTTGAAATGCTTCCAAGATTCCATTGAATGCCATGAATGGAAGGTAGAGGATGTACCTTGGGAACAAGCTGAACAAGTCTGAATCTCTCCATGCGGCGCTGCGACCAAGCAAGATGCTGAGGAGAAAGCTTCCATTGAAATACCCACCAAGAACAAGAAGAATGCTAAAGTAGACGTAAAACGTCAAAAGGTTTCCCATGGTAGCATAGGCAGGCCTTGCATCGGGCTTCTCTGCCGCAAAGACCCTTGTGAACAGATTCCTGAGCATCTCCTCTACCGGTAAAAAGATAAGCCGTGCAATAATTGAGCCGTAATTGGTGATGACAGCATAGGTTCCTTGTTGAGAGACGTCAAAGAGGTAACCCATCATGATTTTGTCGCCCTCGGTGAGAACAAGCTTGAACAACATCTGGAAGGAAAGCGTGTAGTAGAGCTTCTTGAGAACCGGATCAAAGAAGAAAGCGTTCTCCTTCTGCTGAATCTTCGTGACTTTTGGGATGCGAAATTTGAAGTGGTACAAGTAGCCCACCACATTCACCAATGCATACCCCAATTGGCCTGCAAGGAATGAAAGCACAGCCCATCCACTGCTATTCTTAGTACCATAGTACTTGACCAACCTCACACCAACGAAGGTGACTAGACACTTGACGAAAACAGCAGTACTTTCAATAGTGGAGCGCACCTTGAAGTTGAGATCATACTGATTCAATGCGTACAACGGCTCAATCGCCAATTCCGATGCAATCAGCACAAAAAGAAGCAAGAATGCAATTGGCCGAACAGGTAACAAAAAGCCAGTCTGTAGAACTGAGCTATCTTTCACGCCGTAGTACCCAAGTGTACATAAGGCTGCAGATATCACCAAGGGTATGTAAGCAAAGTTGACGACTTTTTGCTGAACCTCTTTCTTCGTTGAGCCCGTAGCTCTTTGAATGGTCAATCTTTCGGCCTCCCGACTAAAGAAAAGCACAAATGACACGTAAAATTCCATCACGGCAACCACGCCCATTACCTCAGGCGAGATGGAACCCACAAGCAATTGATTCGAAACAAAAGTAAATAATTTTGTGGAGACCTGGGCCAAAAAAAGAAAGGACGCCCCTGAGACGCCTGGGACCGGCGGCATTTTGGTAAAACTGTGATCGCTTTAAAAGATAGTGCTGCAAGATCTAGACGCACTGTAATCAGCACTTGACAGCTATGTTTGGTCGTGCGCGGCTCAAGATATCCAAAGTTCGTCCTCCACATCGTTGACTGAGTAGTTTACATTAAGCCACTCACAGCTTTGCTAATCGTCATACCAAAACACGTACTTTTGTCGACCTAGACACAAAACGCCATTGGGTGATTCTTGTCAAAACACAGATTCCGCTCCAAGACGACCGATTTTTCACCACTCGTCATGAGCTATAGTGTCACTAAAGAAGAGGCAGAAGCCGCTGCCGCCAACAGTCCAGATATTGAGTTAAGAGAACAAGACCGCTGGCTCCCCATTGCTAATGTGGCTCGACTTATGAAATACACTTTGCCTGCCACGGCCAAAGTCAGTAAAGACGCCAAAGAATGTATGCAAGAATGTGTTTCAGAATTCATATCCTTCATCACCAGTGAAGCCAGCGACAAGTGTGTTAGGGACAAGCGGAAAACCATCAACGGTGAAGACATCCTCTACTCGATGCACGACTTGGGATTCGAAAACTATGCTGAAGTTCTTAAGATTTACTTGGCCAAGTACAGAGAGCAGCAGGCACTCAAACAAGAACGTGGAGAGACCAAGGTTTCCAAGAAGCAGGCCAAGAAGAGAGAGGCCCTGCTACAAGAAGACGAGGCTGCTTTGAAAGCAGAACAAGCTTCCAACGGACTGGAACAGGACCACAATGATCAGCATGACGTGAAGGATGAAGACCCGAATTTACCGCCAATAGGATACGATCAACAGGACAAGGGAAGCAACTCACCCGACTATTTCGATCAGTACGCTGCTGGTGAGAATGGCCAGCCCGAAGACAACGAGATGGGTTTAAAACATGACCTCGAGGTCGACGTGAATCTAGATCAGAGCCAGGGTATCGACATGGAGCACGCTCGGTACGACGGCTTCATGGATGGACAAAACGAGGGCTTACACGATGAGTCAAAAGAAAATGGCAAGTCCCATAGCCGCACTGATAGCGGTGGAGGTGACTTGGGCAAACTCGCCGGTCACGAGGAGCTTGATCTCTCGATGGCCGACCGCGATTACTATTGATGAAATACTAAATCCTCTTGCGACAAACGGGGCAAGAGGGAGAAAAGTCTATCCACTGGAGCAAGCAGCCAAGATGGAAACCATGGCCGCATGGCTGCACCCGCTTGATGGTATCCAGGGTGGGCACAGAGAGCTCCTCATAGC